GCAGCGGTGTCTTACTGGGGCTTTTCCTGGCGCGGAGGGAGATCGGCACAAGGATCGCGGGCATCCCCCGGCTGCCAGAGGGGTAGTGGCTGTTGGACCGAGGCAGAGGCCGTCGCTGCGGGCCCGGTGTTGGCGCTCGGATTACGGGGTGGCAGCGAATGACCTGTTGCTTGGAGGGCACTCAGGCAGGTGCCCGGGCAGTGCTCGGGGTGCTGGGAGCGGCCGTGCAGGGCTGCAGTAGCATCAACACCCCAACTTCTGCGTGTGGGGAAGAGTGCGGGCTGAGAACAGCCCTTTAGGAACAACGTGGTGGGTTGGGGAGGGAGCGATGTGTTGCAATCGGCGTTGGAGGGCCAGGATTGATTTCAGTTTATTCAAGAGGTACTAAGCTGTATGACTGAGGGACAGCTATGGTAAAAATAAGATGCTGCTGCTTTAGGGCTTTTCAATGCCTGAAGAGCCATTTGACCCTAGTATGGATGTGAATGTAATGGGCAAATGCCTGTTATTTACTAATGCGTGAACGAATATGCTTATTCTGCAGCAGTTTCCTTTTGGCCTTGTTTAGGTTGATCTAGTTACAAACTGAACTAAAACCTGTTGATAATAACCGTGACTAGTTTATTTTTTGAATAGGAGAGTTTGTGGAAGCGCTTAGTTGCACCAGTGTAATTTAATGGATTCCCTTTAAGGTTTTTAGTGGTATAATCAACAACAGCATTCGGTCTCCTCTTCCTGCCCAATCCAGCAGGAATCTGTCCACAGGTACCCAGTCTATCAAAGTTGGACACAGACCTTTTTCCTGTCAGGATCACAAGTTGTGGCTAGAACCTCATTATGATATCATTGCATGTGTTTAATATCTCTAAACACATTTCATTAAGTTGCCTTTAATTTCTTTTATTTTTCTCTGCAGGCCATGATGAAATCCCACAATGCCATTTTGAGAGGTTGAGGTGAAGGGGGAGAAAAGGGCAATAAAAAATGGCCAAGCAAACAACCGTGACGATTACTTTGGCGACCCTGCTGGGTGTTGCACTGGGGGGCCTGGTCTTGTGGAAAGCGACCCAGCGTCGGAAAGGAAAAACACACTGTAGTAGTCAGCAAGAGGAAGCAACAGTGAAGTCTGGAGATGAGAAACTAATTAAGGCAGAGGATAAGAAGGTGCTTTCCTTCTTCAAATCTCCCACCTTTTTCTGGTTAGAGAGGACCCTTGGTGCAGACATAGTAATAGTTTCAGAGCAGGAGGAGTGGGATCATGTTGAGCCATTGCTGAAGAAGGAGCTGGAGAAGTGGCCGGTTCTTGGAATTGACTGTGAGTGGGTGAGTGATCAGGAGGTGCCTCTCCTTCCTTTATATTTCAAATTGCATGGGGAAATCATTGAAGGTGGAGCAATTCCTTTGCTTAAACAGATACCACGGGGCTGACTATTGAAACTGTGATTGTCTGTCATGATAGCAGTGAAGAAGCTTCTAATTTTGATTCTTCTTGTGTTTAAACATGCTAAGTTGTTAATTCAACAGATGTATTTGTTTACTGAGTTCCTGTGATAAATCGACTTTACTAAATATAGTAACAGTTGTATGGCCAAATATAGCATTATGTGTTTTGTTTAATATCTCTTTAGAAGTAGCTTGAGCTTACACTATTTTAAATCCAGTTACATATTTAAGAAATAATATCTTAAGAATGTTAAATTCAAAAAGTAGTATAATGTTGATATATAGATTAAACTCATTGGGGCAACCAGAAAGTTCCTCTTCTGCTTGAACATTTGCATGTGAGATATCTCAAACAGCCTTAAAGTAATTTATAAAGCCTGGCTTTGCCATTGTTTTGACTGGAAATTTATTCACCCCCCAGTCATTAGTATAAGCCATAGTTAAACAATAGATTTACGATAAACATTTATATAGTGGGTGGCTTTGTGCTGATGTGGATTCAAAAATGTTTCTGATTTCTTCCACCAGCTCAGCTATGAAGGGGAAAGGTGAAAGGGGGAAAGATTCTCTTGTGGGAATGTGGCAAGAAGTAGCTTGAGGACAGTAATACTGTGAAAAAGACCACATAACTTGCAGTGAATTTTTAGAGACATGTAACAATATTTGACTTTGTAAACTGATAAGTATTTTCTGCTTTTAGTAGCCTTTTTTGCCATTTGCTTCAGTTCCAGTATTACTAATAATATGGTATTCTGGACTCTCATTTTTGATTTCATTACAGGTATCTGTGGAGGGAAAAGCAAGTCCTGTATCCCTGTTACAGATGGCTTCTTCCAGTGGCCTCTGCATTCTTGTTCGGTTGCCCAGGCTTGTTGCCAGTGGCCAGACTCTTCCAAAGACCCTGTTGGACATCATGGCAGATAGTGCTGTGTTGAAAGTTGGAGTAGGATGCTGGGAAGATGCTTGCAAATTGCTTCATGATTATGGCCTTCCAGTCAAAGGGAGCATGGATCTCCGGTATTTAGCCATGAGACAGCGGTAAGTGCCTGAAGACAGAGGTGGGTCTGTTTGAGGCATCATTTGAGTTGGAAATATATCTTAGGTGATTTGCAAAAGCTGAATGATATCAGGCTGGTATGTCTGGAATTCTTAGGGTGGCTTTAGAGAGTGGGCATTGATAGCTGCAGCCCAAGAACATTTATGTCATGCTTCTATTCTGTGGTCTTAATGGAAATGAAATCTTCATGAGGAATTCATTTGCTAGTTGTGTCCGTTAGCTTCTCTCACAGACTGATACCTTTGTGGGCTTGTCTGTGTATCATGCTTCAGTTTTTAAGAAGTTCAGGCACAATGATGTAATGCAGTGAGAGTGAACACTGTGTCAGCAGATGTTTGAATACACTGCCTAGAAGTATGAGTTAAATGTGCCCAGGGCACATAAGTGGAACTGTTGAATTTCAAGATTTCTTGAAAAATTGCTAAATAAATAAGTTCCAGTTTTCTCTTTTAATAACAATTCTTTTATGGAAAGGTTACACTTGTGATGCCATTTTCTTACCTTTCACTCTTCCTAAAACAAAATGCTTTACTTGCAAAATATTCTTCATGTACAGTTATATGTGTGCCTGGGTGTGGTGTTAGTGATCTGGGCCGTGGGTTTGCTGACCTGTTGGTGCCTTTTTAGCACTGAGAATGGACTTCTTGTCCCTGGTGGCCAGGATTCTTCCGAGTCATTCCTGGTTCTTGAGCTTCTCATGAATCCCTGGGACAATACATACATCACTGTATGATGGACCTCTTTAGTTCAGAAGTGAGTAGTAGATCAGAGCCAAACATTTCAGCCTTAAATGTTACTAGCTCCTAGCCTTGTCTGCTTTGCATATTGCAGACACGAGATAACTACTAAATCTAGAAAGAACATTTTAGTAGAGGGGAGGGAGAGGGCCTGTAAAGCTGACAAGCGATAGTGTGACAGTGTGCTTGTTGTTTGAGTCATGCATCATGTGCATTGTGTTCTCACAGGTTCAGGCTGTATGAGGCCATCTCAGTGTATAGTTTCATTTTTAATATGTTTATTTCATTTTCTTTGTTGAACTGCAGGAAGGATCTACTTCACAACTGCCTTAGCCTTAAGTCTTTAGCAGAAAAAGTCCTGAACTTCCCACTTGACAAGTCTCCTCATGTGCGTTGCAGCAACTGGGAAGCAGAAGAACTGACACAAGATCAGGTGTGTTCTCCAACTTAACTGTTTTGGGAGGAAAAGTAACCTTCTTAGTTGAAAAAGAGGGAGATCTGAGCCTATTCAGATTATACCTCAAAACCTTATGTGTGACAGGGCCTAAAGCTAATTTCAGACTCTGCTTCCATTTCCCTCCTTTTCCATGAAAATAATTTTTTGCTATTCTCCCTGGATTCTTTACCCTTGTTTTCCTTTAGTCCTGAAAGATATGTGAGGCAAGATACTTTGAAGAAATATCTTTCTTTCCAAGACCTGACCTTTTCATCATTTCCTTCAGTCTGTAGCAGTCTGCAGTATTAGAGAGATACTTGGAAATCTTGTTCACCTTCTTTAGAGCATTGTTGTTTTCCCTGACTTCTTTAGTCAAGCTGTACATGCCTGCACAAGTAGTGACCGGCAGAGGGAGTGACAGGACAAAAAAAACATGCTGAATACTCAGCCACTGTGTCAAAAGGGAACTTTTTATGAGGGGGGAATTGGTGGGGTTGGAGGATGTCTGACCTAAATATATTTTCAGTCCCTTGCAGTTCTTGGGGGCACTACCCCAGGGTAGTGGGATGTGATGATGTTATGAAAGTGCCTCTCAACTGGCAAAACTTCTCATGTGAACTTCAAAAGGAAATGAATCCAGCTTCTGGTTTTACTGTACCTTGTGCTAAAGACTGATAACGTTGGGAGTATTTGCTGTTTGTCATTATCTTAATTTCTCTGCTTTTCTGCAGGTTCTCTATGCTGCTAGGGATGCCCAGGTCTCAGTGGCTCTGTTCTTTCATTTGCTGGGATTTGCCAGCCTCCCTGATACATCTGAAGGTGAAAACTCTCTCACTAATTGGGAGAAAGTACAGGGTAAATGCCAGGGCTTGGTGGATATCCCATTTAGAGGAAGGAAGAGTGGCAGCACAGGAGAGGAGAAGAGTGGAGAGGTACGTTCCCCTCAGAAAACAAAGAATCGGAAATCTTGGGTGAATGGCCAGCCCCCTGGCAATCAGCAAATGAGAGATCCACGGAGACAGAAGCGAAAGCCTCTGGGTGTGGGATATTCTGCACGGTGAGTATGTGAGCACATCTTACTCTTTGCATTGCATTCGGAAAACCCTGAGCGTTGCCTCATGCTCTAGTCATTAAACAAAGTAGATTGTGTGAACTAGGAAAGGGAACACAGAACCTAGCAGTCAGGGGGTCATATCCTGTTTCTGTTTTCCTCATTTTCCTCTAGGTGGTATTGAAAGTGGGAGCACTTAGATCTTTACTTAGATCATGAACAAGTTGAGGTGTTGTCTTTAAGTTTTTCCCTTATTTCCTTCCCCTGTGGAAGCATTAACGAGAGAGCAGAGTCATAGAAGTTGGCTTTCCAGGTGTTATTCTTGGATATCCAAGGTGTTCTGAGCGGGGCCAATAGTTGGACTCGATGATCTTGATGGATCCCTTCCAACTCAGCCTGTTCTATGGTTCTGTGATTCTGCTACCCAAACAGCTGTGCTCTGTCTTCTCCAAGGAAAGATGGCAACTGCACAGAGCTTGCCCTTTCATCAGGATCTGCCTCATGGACTGTTGTTTGTCCTTTGGTGCCCCATGTTTCCATGGCCACAGAGACGGCAGGGCTGAAAGCTGAGGTTAGCAGGGGTAAGACATGGTATGTGAGGTGCCAGAGTGCACAGGAAGGAACAACCTGTGGTAGCAGCAAAGCCGTGCCCTTTGTGTTGGCCAGGGGGCAGGGGGAGAGAATAGTTCTGCTTTGGCCCTGCAGAGGCAGGCGGTTTATTGGAGTGAATCCTTAAATTTTTGTGGGCTTTTGCTAGTAAGAGTTCAGTTGTTTTTAAATGAAAAACAAGCTGGAAAAGTCACTTTAAGCTCAATGCAGTGGAAGATGTGGGATATCTATATGTTTGGTTTTGGTCGGATACAATCTAATAAATTTTACCACTGGACATAACTAAAATTATACATAATTATCATTAGGAAAGAAATAAATTTTTGTATTTGTATTTTTCCTTTTTAAGTTTATTGGATTGGCAACAGAGAAATTTTAGTGTAATCAATAGTATTGATTTCATTAGCAGTGATTAACAGTATTGTGTTTTACAGAGCAAGTCCCTCTTTTTTTAATATTTTTTTTATTTGGAGGCTGTATAATACAAAACAGAAGGACTGTGTCTCATAGGAGGATAAAAATTTAAACAAAATTACATTCCAAGATAAATTAAGATCTCCCCATATATGCTTATTTATTTTTGGTTTTTAACTGTGCTTGACTTCATGAGAGATGTGTAGACTCACTGCTTTTTTCAGTATTTACAGCAATGTGCCTCTGGTCTGTAATAACACAGTGGATGTGGTTTTTAAAGTCCTTTTTCACCCTTCCTTTCTGTTTAATTTTAATGTTTATTCATTTAGAGTTGGGAAGTACTGAAATTACGGTAACTGAGTTGAGCTGTTGATGCTCAGTGGAAGGAGACCTCGTGTATCTTCTGTTGGGTTTTTTTCCCCTCACAGACCTCAGAAGAAATAATTTTTTTTGATTGCATAGCCTGTGAATCAACTTTGTTAGCTGGTAGAGTCCAGCTGAGTACTAATTTGTACAATCTCACCGTAGAGAGGAAAGGAAACTTTTCTGCAGTATGTTGTGATATGTCTGGCCAGTTCCTCCCAGGTCCTCTCTGAGCCCAGCCTGCTCCATGCTTCAGCTTTGTTTGAAGGAGGTTGGCAGAGTAAGGAAATGTTTTCTGCAGAACAGAGCCCTTCCACATACTGCCACAAACTGCCAGAGACTGCTCAAGCAAGACTTCTTGTCACTGCCAAAGGTTGGGGCCTGTGTTTGAGGGCATCAGCTCAGCTTTGTTGTTCTCCTGAACTCATGTGTTCAAGTTCCCAGTGCTGCAAGAGTGTTTTTGGACCATTTCTCTTGGGTGAATAAAGTAATTGCTATTCACACTAAATTTTAGAAAAGTTTTCATAATAAAACATTAAAATCTAGGCTTAGGCAGTTGATCCTTGAAAAACTGCCTTGCCTGTCAGTTGATGCTTACTCTTAAGAGCTTACTCTTAAGAGTGCTCATCATCCTGTGTGACTTCAATTCTCTTTTGTTTTCTAATTAATTTTTTAAAAATGCTGTCTTAATTGATGGCATCTCTTGAAAATTGGGATTCAGGAGTTAGAATTCTGTTGGCAGCAGGAGAGCAAAGATACCTTAGAGTCGCTTGGTGAGCCCTGGATAGATTTTCAGATGTACTTCCCTGAGCAGCAGCCTGGGGAGTGTCTCAGCAGCCTCAAGTTTGTGTTTAGGGGTACTTCTGTGATTCAGAGGGAGCTGCCTGAACTGCAGTGGCACACAAGGCTATAGAAAGCTCTGGGGTTTTTTGAATGCTATTATAGCTGCTGTAATGCTGCCCTTGTTTCATAGAAAATCTCCATTGTATGACAACTGCTTCCTGCATGCACCAGATGGACAGCCCCTGTGCACTTGTGATCGCAAGAAGGCTCAGTGGTATTTGGACAAGGGGATTGGAGGTAAGCATACCAGTTTTCCTGTTGGTATTTGAAATGCAGCTCTCTCTCCCCTCCTCTCCCCCCTCTCCCCCTCTGCCGCCTCTCCCCTCTCTGTCTCTCTCTCTCCTTCCTCTTCTTCATAATGGAGCATGAATTTTTTTGTATCCTTTTTTATTGGAGGTACTGCTGGCAATTCACTAGAATTCACTTACATTGTAGCATTGTTATTTTAGCTTTGCAATACAATTTGTCTTGAACATTTTCTTTGCCTTTATCCTTTTAGAGCTAGTTAGCACAGATCCTTTTGTTGTGAAGCTGCGGTTTGAGCCTTCAGGACGTCCTGAATCTCAAGTTGATTATTATCTGACAGTCAAGGAAAACCTCTGTGTTGTGTGTGGCAAGCGAGAATCCTATATCCGGTGAGTTTTTTAGTGGGTAGGAGAGAAATGCATCTTCTAGAATAGGACTGAGATCTGCATCGAGTTTGGTATCCACAAGTTTGGTTAGTGGCCTGAAACATTGTGCTTGCTCATGTCCTGGATGGTACTCTGTTTGAGTGCTCTGCAGTTGTTTGGCTGTGTGAGACGCTGAAGAGACCAGCCTTTCCTCTTACAGAGGCAGGAGATATTGATCCCAGGAGAGATCAGAGCATATGGAACTTGCATGTGCTGCAGTTTGAGTGACAGGGGCAGCAGTGTGCTGACACACATGGGGTGGGTGGCATCCCCTCCGAAAAGAGCAGTACTGTTCCTTCCACTACTTAATCCTTTATTTTTGAAAGGTTTAGGTGAGCTAACCTAGCTTTAGCTTTAGCTTTAGGTAAAGCTCACGAGATCAAAAAAACCAAAGGTTTTTCTCTTTGTCTTTTTGGTTGCTACTGATTAGTAGAGAAGTGTACTTCTCATAGTGCATTACTTGATTTTTTATTTTTTCTTTTACAATATGAATCTTTAATTGAAAATGATGAATTTTTGGAAAGGAAAAAAGAGAAATGCAGAAAATCTCGAGAGAGAACTACAAATGAAAAGAATAAAAATAATCACTTTCTGTGATTTATGTGTCCTGGTAATCTTTGCTTACCTGGACTTTTAGTTTTAGTTATCTCTTTCTGGGGCAGGAAGAAAAGGAACTGGGGAGCAGCAGCTCCAGACAAATGCAATGAGCTGTCTGTTTTGTCTTCTCTAGGAAGAATGTTGTTCCTCACGAATACCGAAGACACTTCCCCATCCAGATGAAGGACCACAACTCTCATGACGTGCTTTTGCTCTGCACATCCTGCCATGCCATCTCCAATTACTATGACAACCACCTCAAGCAGCAGCTGGCCCAGGAGTTCGGGGCTCCGATCGGCTCCGAGGAAGGCGTGCGTCTCCTGGAGGACCCTCTGCGCAGGCAAGTGCGCTCGGGGGCGCGAGCCCTGCTGAATGCAGACAGCCTGCCTGACCCCCGAAGGGCAGAGCTGCTGCAAAGCATCAAGGACTTCTATAACACAGACACAGTCACTCCAGAGATGCTCCAGGCAGCAGCTGGTCTGGAAACCAGGTATAGCAAGCTCATGTAGGCTGGATGTAAGGTTTTTAGTCATTTATACTGCATTTCTTACTGGTTTTGTTTTCGTTTGTACCCATCTCCCCATAACCCACCACTGGGTCCTGTCTCTGGACCACAGCTCTTGTCTTTCCCGCTTTCCCTTCCTCCTCACCAGTCTTCTGATCTTGCTCTCCATCTTCCCCTCCAACATTTTACACTTCTTCTGAAGGACAGATCAGGAAGAGAGTCTGAAGAACAGTCGTATCAGAAGTCTTCTCTTCTTCACTTTCTCAAAGCCACTAGACAATTGTCTAGTCTCTGCATGAAATGTGTATTTTGTCCTCGTTATGCTTGCTGTTATTTGTAAAGTGCAGATGTTGTAACTCAGAACCCATCCAGGCAGGGAATTCAGTGACAGGCTCAGCACTCTTAGGGGTCATATGATTCTTGCCTTGAGAAATTTGCAGTCTCCTGAGGAGGTTGTAATGGACTTTAAGAGCTTTGTTTAGTGTTGCTGTAAAGAAGAACACTTTCTCAGTTCAGGGAAACCAGCTTTACAGTATAACTGTGTTGCAGAAAACAGTCTGGCAAAAGCTGAAGCAAAGCTTAAAATTCTCTCTCTTGGTTAGCTTGCTCTTTGTCTGTAATTAAACTCTGCAGCTGAAAGTATCTTCAGTGTCTTGCTGTTCACTGGAGACAGATCTGGAGTCTGACAGTGGGCTTGTGTGAAAATAAATTGTACTTGTGTCCTGGCAGGATCTGCAATGAGAGCTACGTGCCACATGGGCTGAAGGTGGTGCAGTGTTGTGCTAAAGGAGGCCTGCGCTCTCTTATGCAGCTGGAAAGACGCTGGCGGCAGCATTTCTTGGACAGCATGAAGCCCAAACACCTCCCAGAGCAATGGTCAGTGGACCATAACCATGTGAAGTTGATCCAAAAATATGGGGAGGATCTTCAGATCAAGCTGTCATGAAACTAACTTCCTGGACTCTGGATATTGTCTAATGGACATCTGTAACTGAAGATGGAAAGACAGTTTCTATTTCTATGTCTACACTAACATCTGGGGCCTGGGTTTGCAAAAGGGGAGCAGTAGATCTGCCAGATTTTCCAGTTAGAGTTAAATTTGACAGTTTATAGAGTTAAATCCCTTGACCTGAACTTTCAGGTTTGGAAGTTTAATCCTAGTTTGTCACTTACTAGTTTGGTGCAAGAGTGATAAGGGAACTTGTCTTCTCAGAGTGACTGTGAAGAAACATTTTCTAGCCCCCAGGATGTCTGATGCTTTCATACCATCTCTCATAATAAAGTGAGTCCAGAGAAAGGCAACAAAAGCACAATAGATGAATGTTTCTAGATGTTCTGACATGTATTTGTGCCCTTGACTTTGCCTTGAGAGTCTTTATCTTGAGGGTCTTCTTGATAAAAATCTTTCCTTCTTTTCAGTGCAGTTGTACTTACAAGAGTTCTTCCTAGAGAAGACCTCCTGCCAGAGAGAGATTCCTTGTTTGGAAGAAGTGAAGAAACCTTATTTTTTGCAGATTCTGAGCTGTCCCAGCATTGCAGATAGGTCTCAGCAAGTTTCCTGGTAGCAGGTGCCTGATGAGAAGTGACACTCTGGCAGTATGGAAATACCCATGCCAAGTCTTTTGTTAAACAGCTTCCAGTAACATAGAGTTTGTAAAAATTGCTTTTCCTAATCCTGCTTGTTTGTCATGACTAGCGTGCTCACGCGTGCAGGGCTGTTACAGAGGTGGGGTGGCATAACTCCTGTGACTGGAGTGTTGGAATGGAAGGATGCAGGCTCTTCAGGAAGAGGAGGCACTGGAGGCGAGGAGGAGGTGTCACCTTCTGTGTCAATGATTGGTTGGAGTGCATGGAGCTCCATTTGGAGTGCATGGAGCTCAGCCTAGGGATGGATGAGGAGTCCATCAAGAACTTACGGGTCAGGATTAAAGAGAGGGCAAACACAGGTGGCAGAGGGGATCTGCTACAGGTTGCCCAACCAGGAAGACTGAGAGGATGAAGCCCTCTATAGGTAAGAGCAACCTCGTGTTCACAAGGCCTAGTCTTCATGGGGGACTCCATATCTGTTGGAGAGGCAACACAGCAGGGCATAAGCAATTCAGGAGGTTCCTGGAATGCATTGATAACTTTTCCAGAAAGCCAACTGCATCATGGGCTGCATCAAAAGAGGCATGACCAGCAGGTCAAGGGAGGTAATTCTTCCCCTCTATTCTGCTCTTGTGAGACCATTTGGAGTACTGTGTCCAGCACTGTGGCCCCCAGTATAATAGAGGAAGTCCAAAGGAGGGCTACAAAGATTATTAGAAGGCTGAAGCACCTGTCCTATGACTTCTTACAAGAGTGTGTAGTGATAGAACAAGGATTAGTGGATTTAAACTCGAAGAGGCTAGGTTTAGATTAGGTATTGGGGAGAAATTCTTTGCTGTGAAGGTGGTAAGGCAATGGAAGAGGTTACCTGATAAGCTGTGAGTGCCTCATCCCTGAAGTGTTCAAAGCAAAGTTGGATGGAGGTATGAGCAACCTGGTCTAGTGGAAGGTGGCCCGTCCATGGCAGGGATGTTGGAACTGTATGTTCTTTGGAGTGCCAACCCAAACCATTCAGTGATTCTTTGAATACCACTTGGTGAGTACCTTTTCATATCAGAATGAAATAAGGACAGGTACCTCAGAAGGGATGAGAGGAAACAATTTAAAGATCAGAAGCTTTTAAGAGACCTGATCACACATGGCAAAAAATGGAAAATCTGATGTTTTGTACCTGGATTTGACAAGCGTGGTGGTGAGCAGGTTATACTCTCTTCATGCCAGTTTCTCTGTCTCTAAAATGAGACTAATAATACTTAACTATCTCACAAAGGTGTTGTGAGTCTTAAATAACTCATGTTTTTGTAAAATGCTTTGAAAATATGAGCTAGTGTGTGCTAATTGGTGTTGCTGTTTTTTAAGATGTGCTGCTAACTTCATTAAATATTCATGTTTTTTGTCTGGTGCTAGACCTTAGTTAAAGATAACTTTTTAAAACTACACACTCCTTTCTGTAAAATTCCTTTTGATGATTTTGATTGCATGAGATGAGTGTGCTTCTACTGAATGATGAAGCTATGCTCAACTTTTATACGCCTCTGTAAAGAAGTTTCAGTAAAACCCTTATCTTCCCACTGCTGTGTGTAGCGCAGTTGACCCACATAATTTTAGAACATTTGGGCAGAATCCTGGACCTGCTGTGATTGTGGCTGAAACTCTCCCTTATCAGATAATTCAAGAAATTTTACAGGCCAGGGGTAAAAGCACTGTTTGTAGCAGGGATTGTTTGAGATAAGTAGGAGCCATGGAGAGAAATGGTACATTAATGCCATCCCAGAGGAGCTGCAATAGCAGCATGAGGAATCAAAGGTTCATGATAAATACTACTTATCACAGAGCTGCAAATGAGATAATTTTCATTATAAGGTCAATCTTTTTCCTGTACCACTGGCAAGTCTTAACAAAAAGTCTTCTAGCCAAATGTGGTATGTCTGTGTGCTCATTCACACAGCTGATTATAATCCCAGCACGACCTTCCTGCCTACAGCAGCAGTTTGGATATAACTATTTCTCTCCAAAGCATTTAGAGCATGTGTTCAGATAGTGCTATATCCTGTCTCCATCTGATCGGGATGTTGAGAGCTCTCTGCGTGACTCAGGAACTCCTTTTCTGTCATCAGGAGTACAAGGTGTCCATTTCACCTCTTTGTTCTGCTTTGTTTTTAGTCCCTTTGTTCTGATATAGGAACTCCTGATCAAACTCTTTAATGGAACTGATTGGCTGACCACAGGGTCAGGTCTTTTCTGTTTCTGAGACTAGAAAGTAATGTGGAGACAAGAACTGGACTGCAGGTCCTGTATTTTTAAGGAGCGAGTGGTATCATTGAAGAGGGTTTCTTTCAAATCACTTGTTCAGAAATAGAGACTAGCAAGGAGAACTTCTCAAATATTTTCTAAGCTAAGATTCTTTGTTGTTTGTAAGATATCCTTAACATGCATAATTTTAATTCAGTCTGAAAGAAGAGGGGGAGCAATATATTTATTACGCAGAAAGATTTGCTTTATTTTACTATGATTTTAAATTTTCTACCAGTCTATAGATAAAACTTCCTTGTATGTCTCTGTTGCTAATTGTTACATTCTATAAAATTTTACTCTTTTACCAGACTTACCACTTTTGAAGTTCTTTTGTTCATTTCTTGCATGCTTCTTTTTCTCTTCTTTCCTTGTGTCTTACCCAGTCCTTACAGTAACACCTGGACCTCCCCCTCCAAGCTTCCCTTTCCAGTGTCTTCCCTGATTTGTGTGTCAGAGATCAGCTGTGGAAGAGCCCTTGCTGGGGGCAATACTGTACTTCTAAGCAGTGGGATGGGATTGTGAGCTTGCTCAGGTATGTTTGAATAGTGGATTCAGATGCTGTCCTTGGCCTGGTCGTTTGGGTCAGTCATGGCTGCAGATCTACGTTTGTTCAAAATTAAACCTTAAATTTTTCTCAGCCTGAGCATTCATCTAGGTTGCCCCAAGTATTTTACCTTAAGTGTGACAGTCCTGCACTTAATGACACACATCCATTTGGTCTTTGCGGGGGGAGAATTGGCAATGTTGTCTGTATGGGCTGGCTTTCACAACATGGGATTTTTCTTCCTGTTGCTTGTCACTTCACATTTTTAAGTTTCTCCAAAGTATGCTGCCAGAGATGGGGGAGGGAGATTTTCCCTTTTACCTGGTGCTTGGTGCCACCTACCTCAAACTGCTCCTTGCAGGTTAGCAGGGAGCACATCTCATCTGCTGAGATCCCTAAACCTGTCTTGGCTTATGAATTCCCTGCAGAACTTGCTTCCATGCTTTTTGTTTCATGTGTGTTGCCCATGGGAAACAGATGTTCTTCTGTAAGAGTACAACTGGGCACAAATCTCCAGAGACACACCTCTGGAGTGGGAGAAGCAATGGCCCTTGAAGCTCTTCCTCCATGGGCTACAAACAGTTTTCTGTCTTTCCAAACACTACAGTTTGTGTTTTTTCTTGATTTTTCAATAACTTAGACATTACTACAAGGTGCAAGATTTACCAGCTGGGCAGCATTATCTGTTGCAGGTGCAGTAGGTGCTGCACTTTTGAGCAGACCATACATGACATATTAATTATGCTGCTGACAGTTTTGGCATTTGGAGTGCCTTGGTTTTTCTCCTTTGACAGTCTCTAAAGGTCCCAGCTGTCACATCTGTGACTGACAGGATTGAAGACAACATATCCCTGTGGGCTTGCATTTTTTTCTGTTTGGTATTCAGTAATGGCAGGGATGGAAAGCTCTCTTCCTGTTGCGTTTCTATTGGTCTGGCTCCTTAGGGAGTATCTGAACTCTACACTGTCTGTAACATGGTTTTTGTGGGAGCTTTTCTGTGAAGGTAATGTGGTTGTCTTGAGAAGTACCTTGCTGCCTTGGCCTCGTACCTGAATGGCTTGGAGGAGCTGGGTTGTTTCACATGCAAAGGGAGCCTCCGAAACAACAAGTCACCTGCCTGTCTGCAGTGTTCTGTATGGATTTCTAGTCTGAACCAGAAAGTCAATTCTCATCCCTGCTCCTTGATCTCCTCCTTCTTTTGGGCCTCCACTGTTGTCCAGACCTGTAAGACCTTCTTCATTCCCACAGGCTGCCTTTGATGTAATGGCCCCTACTCCCAAAGAACATCTCCTTTGATACTCTTTGGGAGTAGGAGCCATTACAAAGAACTTTCTCTTCTGCTTACTACCATACTATTGGCATAAGGATTTTCCTCACCCTGAGGGGTACATTGTTCTGGAGAAAGGCAGAGGCTGTTTGAGCTAAGTGCAAAGAAGATATACCCAGCTTTCTTTGGGACTTACTGAAGGAGCCACAGTGAGTGCTCTTGTATTAGCCCTGCATCAAAGGGGTTTTGTTAAATGCTTTTACAGGTAAAGAGGGCAATGCAAGTAAGCCAACATAGTCAAGCTTAGTAGAGGGAAAAAAATGCTAAAAGCCAAATAAACGTGCATGGAACATAATTTCTCTTAATCAAAACATATTCCTCTATCACTGTGAATTCTACCATGAAGAGCAGGCAGCTCTTGTAAGGATTTTCTGTGCCAAGGTTAGTGCTGCATCCTCTCTTGCCACTTAACTGTAATGGAACTTGTTTCTGTCTTGAATTAGCCAGTGTGATGCTACCTGGGGTCTCAGCGGTGTTGGTCGCCAGGAAACAAAGCAAAACCATCTCACTCTTATTACTTTCCTTTGCAAGCTATTGGATAAGTTCAGCTTTGAGAGGGGGGGGGAGTAAAGAGAAAAGAAAAAAAAAAAAAGGATGGAGGCTTTTGCTGTAAAATAGAGATGTCATCTTCAGATAACAAGAAGCCATTTCCTTGTACAGGAAAAACTTCAGCTTCGTCTAAAGATGATAGAAAATATGGCTTCTATCTTTCTTTGCTTAAAAAGTGAAAGATTGTGCAGTGGTTAAGAAGGAAAAAAGGAGAAGGCATTTATATATCTCGGCATGAATGTGACAAGCCTGCAAAAAGGGTACTAGGCAGCTGTCAGAAATGCAGGCTTAAGAGAAAAACTGCCTGTCCAAACTCCCATCACAATAACCCTGCTGCTCTAAGAAGCTGCTTCACATTGTGTCATGCTCTGTGGGGATCTGAAACATATCTGTTTCACATTGATTAACAGCAAGTCTTTTCCAATTGATTGTTCTATGAAAATTGTCAGACAGTACTTTGTATTAGCTGAGATCTGCCAGTTGCTTTTCCTTTTTTCCTCTGCCATGACTCTGTCCAGGACTTCTAGCTGTAAATAAAAGCAGGGAGACTGTCTGACTGCTGGGTCATGTGAAAATATGAGTGGGACTCCCTTTCAGTGCACTATGAATAAAAAAAAATCATTATCCCTACTTATGTAGCAAGGGCTATGGAGAATTCAAATCTGAGCTGTAAGTATGTGTATATAGTTTTTTGTAATATTTTTGCTATTCAGATAATGTTTTCCATATGTTTTAAAAGCTTTATACTATCTTCTGACCCCCTCTGGTTCTCCTGTGATATATGAATAGCAAGACTAGATGTTGTTCAGCTGCATGTCTTAAAGCACCGTGCTGATGTCTTACAGACCAGCTCCATTTTACAGATATTTTCTCCACACTAGAAGTAGAGTCAGTCCAAGCAGTGAAACTGGAACCTAAGAAATCCTTAGAGAGCTCTGGATAAGATCAGACTAGACTGCCTATCTCTTGACAAAGTATTTATGGGGGTGAAAACTGCCTTCAAGTGCATCTTCTGAGCACCATAGATGATGGTGAATGTTAGATCCTCAGGAATACCCAAATACTCTTTTTTTCCCTGCCTTGCAAATGGGCATTGGGACTCTTAATGTCAGTGGGCTCTGGCCCCATTGGCTCCATGCCCCAGTTATGTTCCACTGCTTTCAAGGTTTCCAGTGTATAGTGAAATATCAGAGTGTGTAAAGCCTGCTCCAATTTTGGACAAAGAAGCCAGCAGGTGAGGTAAATACAGGTAGATAAAACATAAGAGCTAAAAAAGGTGGGTTATCTGTATTTTATTCAATTGGAATAATCATCAGTTAAAACCAGAAAGACTTCCTGCTAGCCACCAACCTTTTGCTGGATGTGTTTCACTGCCAGCTGTGTCCAGTCAGTGAGTTCACAGCAAAAGCTTATTCTCATGGTAGGGGACAAGGAAGAGAAATGGCCAGAGCTAGTGGGTTGGCACTCAGCTGCTAACCTTGATTGTCTCTTGGCCTGCTTTGCCCTAACCTTGAAGGGAAAGGAGCAGAGGGAAGCCTGAATGGGTTCTTGTTCTCATCATTGCCTCTTGCTGAAAACTTGCCACTCTGGAGGGTGAGTCCTGTGCCTCTGAAGGGAACATCAGTGTGGAAATGTGGCTTATGAGCCAAGTCTAGAAGTGCTGAGTTTGTCTTGTTTAGGGGAAGCAACAAAGGGACAAAGAGGTAAATAAGAAATGTGTGCTGAAGAGGAGGGGGATTTTTGTGGTGTGTGCTTTCTAGTCTAGCTAGGACAGGAGGTTATGGACTTAAATAAGGAGATCTGTGCTGGTCATGAAGAAAAGCTTCCTTACAGTATGTGCTGCTTCACAACACAGGTCACATTGCTTTCTTAGCAGCACACTGACTGGCTCCCCAGCTGCAAACCATCTGTGCTGCCCACTGACAAACCCAGAGGTGATAAAAACTAAAATATTTTAGCTAACTCTGTGCATGGACATTCTGCTCCCCTATGTGGTACGTGCCCTTCAGTCGCTCACTGCTAAGTAAGACACTCAGAGCTTCTCTCTGAACTACTCTAATTAATGTGTGCCTGCTCTGTATTTTTATAGCTCTTAAAAAGTAGCTGTGAGTGGTATCTTGTATCAGAGAGGTTTTATATCACTGCTGTGAAGCTTGCCATTGCTACTGCTGAGGAGGTGACCTTGGCACATGTTCCCTCCCCTTCGCTCCTCACACTATGTGTTAGCACCACACTTGGCACTTCCAGTCAAATGCTTCAGAAAAGGACACAGAAGCCAAATAAGGATTTTTTCTTTTTAATGCAACTTAGTAGGTTTCTAAAAATCCCTGCTTCCTTGAGAAAGATTACATAAAACAGACCTCCAGTCATAAACAAACTTTCTCTTTCCCAGGTATGTGCTCATTTTTTTATAATCTCAGAACTTCACTTAGGGGAGACAGTGGAGTCAGTAACCTCACCAGTGTTATTTTTCTGTAAAATTCCTGAGAGTTTGCTGGGGAGGTTTCACCACCATCCCCACCCCATGAAGTTAAATGGAACTGCTGTACAAAGAAACAAATTGTGCTGGAATCAAGATGGGAAATACATGCCAGTAAAACCAGCATGATTTTCTCACTTGCATCCTGGACAAAGATGAAGGGGAAAGCCTGAAAAATACAATCGACTTGAAGGGAATTCCAAAAGCCATGGGGTGCTGTGTGTTAGGCACACTACAAAAAAAAAAAAACTCCATATGATCCATGAGGGCAATGATAGACATGTAGGAATTGCTGTGCTGGACTGAAGCCAAAATCTAGTTAGTTCAAGACAGTTTCACTGACATTACTAGTCAGTAGTGTGAGCTTGACCCTCCCTAGATAGCTCCCTAGATAGTTTGTTTTTCACACTTCATGTTTTCAGGGTGAAAACTGACTGATATTTCCTGTGGTAGTTTGAGGAGAGCTAGGCAGAATTTTTTTAACAAGCCTCCTATCACCAAGACATGGGGCAGTGGCTGCTGTGCTGGGGCTGAGCTATGGCCAGCAGGATTTAATTTCACCTTCCCCTCATCTAAATACCCAGCAGTGAGTAGACTCTCAATGAGTTGCCTGTCTGAAAAATGTCAGCTAAAGTGACTGCACATGTTTCTGCCAGCACAAATTCCCAAACTGCATTTAGGGTTTGATGAGGGAGGATAAAGTCCCTGATGATACAATACTGCTTCAGAATTTGCTTCAGAAAGGCTCCTG